TGATAGCCATCTTGGTTTTTATTTATTTATGCGTGCAAGGTGAGGTGCATTTGTGCGTTCATCTGTTTGGCAAAACATGGTGGTTTTAATATGACTACGTCATTTAGTTTAACATGATGAGGATGTGTTTCACTTCCTGGCTTCCCTTTTATTTCGCTGTCTTATTTTTAAAAACAATTATTCAAAAATAATTTTCTTCCATTGCAAAATATGACATTATTAATTTCCTGAGCGGTGCGTACTCAATCAATCACCATAGATATACTAAACCACCACAATTATGTGAAGAAAATTCTGTTTGCATTATTTTAAAAATAATCAAATTTATTGGCGTATTTTTAGGCTATACCACAAGTGGATATTAAATTACCATAGATGCCTAAAAGCCTCAAATGAGATACCGTAAATGACGCTAAATCATCACAAGTAAAAATAGTAATAAAATTATTGCCATGTTTTAGGCTATGCCATGAGTGATACTAAGACAATGAATTCCTAAAAATATCGATCAAGATACCATGAATACACTAAGTCATCTAAGGTAAAATAATAATATGTTATGAGTAATACTAAGTCACCGCGAATTCTTAAAAATCTCAGATGAGATACTGTGAATGACATTAAGTCATTACAGGTATCAAATTTTATACAAAAGTTTCATAATTAAATTATTTTGTAAAAAATTTACTTTAAAAATTCCGTTAGAGTTTGCCATGAGTGATACTAAATCATTGTAGGTTCTAATATATTGGTTATTTTCTTTTTACCCAAAGGTATTTCTTTATAACAAATTTTTATTTAAAAAATAAATATAATTATATAACGCAAAATAACACTCTTTTCATAAAAAACTTAATTAAAAGAATTACAAAATTTAATCAAATAATAATACTTTGAACTATGTAGACTTTGATATCCATTACAGAATACGTGAGTCTTAGGCTTTAATCCTAAGTCAAGTTTGCCTATGTAAATAAATAATTTATTCTTATTAATTTTTCATTTATTTCTTCATTTTTATTTTTGCATGTGATTAAAAAGTAAATAAGATATTATTAAAAGGTCAATTAATTTTATACAATTAACTCAGGATAACCATTCCTATGAACGGGTGTCATGGAATATCTAGCACCTTTCCTACATACAATTAACTCTCAAACCATTTTTAATGACCATTCTTTTTCATTATACAATTTTTCAAAGTTTTCATTATACTTTGATGGCGACTCTCATTTTCCTACGTTTATTAACCTTCCCTCACCAGAAAAGTCACCAATTTGGGCGCAATAATACATGTTAAATGTTATCAATAATGCATGATATATATGTTTTGATGCAAATAAATTTTAATTTAATTAAATACTTAAGGTTGGCATGCATGATTTCCTGTGAAATAAGAATAAATATCTCTATCTTGTATATCTGGTGTGTTGCGTATTTGTGTCCTATCCAAACCAAATTACTATATCCGGTAAAAATGAGCATTCAGTTCTTTAGTTTTATTTAGAGTTTTATTTTGGTTCCTTAATTTTATAAACTATATTTTCAACCCTTCAACTTTAATATTATTAGTTTTATTAACAAACAAAATTGACAGAACTTTTAAATATTGACAAATTATTATTAAATGTTCACATATTAATTTTTTTTTTAAAAAATAATGATTGGCACAAAAATCATTAGTTGAGAGTTGAGATTAACAGTGTTGGGGTTAGAAAATTAAAAAGATAATTTGTAAGATTAAGAGATTAAATTGAAATCTTATATATATATATATACACACACACACACTCATAAAGGATCAAATACATACTTTTGTCTTCTTGTAAGAATGCAGTAATTAAAGGGAAAATTATAACAAAGACTTGAAGAAAATAATATTCATTGGAGACGATCTTTAACATAATAATTATTTAGAAGGACCAAATACTATAATACAAATTTAAAAATACTATACTGCCTCTAATTAAATCTACATTTTTCATAACCACATCTCACATGTATGTAATTAATAGTTACTAACAGAAACACAATATTTGTGATAAAGCTGTTTCTTTTTAAAAAATTACAAGATTAAAAACAACAAACCCAAACAAAGCTAATTAATGTCCAAAAATTTGCAAGTTAATAATCTCATCTCCCTTGAAAATCTATAACTTCATAGATTTAGCCAGGACGTTCTTAACAAAATGTAATAATTATTTAAAAGTAAAGATTTTTTTTAAATGACATTGATTTAACTTTTCAAAATTAAAATTTTAAAATTATATCGATTCAATTATTTAAAAGTAAATTAATTAAATTTATCACTATGTTTTATTTTTTTATATATAATTGAAAACTGCACAACCTTTTTTTCTTTAAAAAAAAAAAAGAGTGCTCTTGTAACTTGTGCAGTACCCCCGCATTAATTTTAAGATATATTATTGACAGATTTTATAATAAGGATTATAATACTTAATTACACTTGATCCTTCATCCTAATTTTAATTTTTATGATCCTTTATAACAAATTTTAACGGTATTAGATTCTTCTCCCTAATTCTTCCGTAATTAAATGTGAATATGTTGGAGCTTGGGAATATGGTGTGAGACAGGTTGTGATTGAATCGGAAATTTGTAGCCTTCTTGCTCGACAATCGTGTTATCAAACACATTCCTCGTTCTCCGAATCAGGCGGTTGATTGTTAGTTCATTAGAAGTATTTTATTTGAGGATTGTTCTGGTGTGTTCCTGACTAGCTTTAGCTAGGCACGTTCGATCTGTTATTAAAAAATAATCATGTACGCGCTTACCGGTAATTTATGGGCACGCAATTCTCTGACAAGGACACAACTCTAATTTTCTTAAATTAGGCGAATAATAGTAATTAGGTACAGAACGTGCATGCCTTGCGATGCGCGAACCATATGAATTAGGCTAGTTATCTAGCGGCCTGCATGGAATAAAATACTATTCATCACATACAATGAACAAAATCGTTTAATGATAACTACTATAGTTATGATAGACTATAATGTCCCGTTTGATACAGAAAAGTGTTTTTAGAAGAAGTGAGAGTGGAGTTTAAAAGTATATATAATATGTATGTACAAGGAAATGAGATAAAAAATTTATCTACTAATATATTTTATATTTTGAAAAGACCAAAATACCTATAATGTTTTTTAGAAAAAAAGCCTCCAACTTCTTCACCCTAAAAAAAAAAAAAAGCCTATTCATGCTCCCCCGCCCTTGTGTCACAAGCCTGACTACTTTAGACGAGGTAAAAATAAAAGTAGAGGTAAAAGTAGAACAACATGACTAAAGGCAAATTGCTTTATCTAAAAGTCAAAAGTGACTTTTGACAAAATTATGATAAGACAAACACTCAAAAGAAGACATGACTAAAGGCATATTCCTTTCATGATTAACGCAAGCCTTTGTGAATGCACTCTTGATCATATGACAAGTTGAGCAAGCTTTTTTCTTCCTTTCGATGCCTTCTAGCAGCAGGGATGTTACATCTGAGTTGCTCTAGCAGTTCTTCTTCATAATCATCTTGATCCATATTAATAGGTCCTGGAGTTGTTGTGTCTTTTAATTCTGGAACTAGCTGATAAGTTTGAGTCTTTATCTAGTATGGGTCTTGGCTATCTGGTGGAAATGTTGGAGGTGTGGATGATGATGCTACGTCATAGGATTCCATCCAGATGGAATATCTTATTTGTACAGCAAGGCTTCTGAGCCATTCAAGAAATTCATATTGGATAGATGGGGATGGATCACTTGGCAGAATAGGCTAGTGAGGTATTAGACCGAAAGATGTGCACTTAAGATGAGGATCTAGAATCGAATACTTATTCATTTCACATAAAAATTCTTTTAAATCAATTAAAGTGAAATTTTCATGTGTGATCTAGTTAGTAGTAGTCTTTCGTAGGTATGCTTGGTTGGCCACATAAAGTTTTCCTTTACTGTCAAGGTGATAAGGATGATGAAGCATAAAGAAGGAGCAGGCTTTTTGTTCCTGCAGAGGGGTTTTCCATAATCATTCCTTTTGGACCACATGAGAGAGTTCCTTGTGCCATCTGGGAATGGGTGAGAACCATTCAAGGATTCTCCATAGTATTAAACCTTCATGACCTTAATCATACAAATAATGATACATCTCCAGGGGAGAAATAGCTATAACACAAACATAAAAAGATGATAAAGACCAAATATACCACATGAGTTCATTTGGAATATGGCCTTTAATAAAAAGGATAGCAAGGCAAGGAGCTTGAATATCAAAATATTCAAGTTAGGGTTGGATATGAGTTTTTTGAAGGAGGATGTGGAGCCAGTAAAATAAACTTCTTCTAGCTAACTTTTAAGCTTCTGGGACAATGGTTGGACTGTCCTAGTAGAAAAGCCAAGTTGTTGGGCATGATATTTAGGATGAAAAGGGGTGGCTTTTTTGGAAGGGTGATGAGATTGATCTTTTTCTGAGGTCTGGTGAGATAGTCTGCAATGATATTGTGTTTTCCTTTGATGTGTTGAACTGTGAATTTATAGCGAGCAAACCAGTCTTTCCATCAAAGGAGTTGGGCTTCAGGGGAGATTTTCTTAGACTTCTAGGATCTTTAAGAATGACATAGTGACCATTTCTACCATAAAGTGATAGGTACTGAGTGAAAGCTTAATGTAATAACCCTAAAATTTCAAATTAAATAAATTTTGTCCAAAGTGATATTTAATTTATTTATTTTAGGTTTATAACAAATTGAGAGTAGTGGTTTAGTAAAATCTATGCTAGTAGTTTACCTAAAGGGTCAAAGTCCAAATCCTACTGAAAAAGAAATGTGTTTGGTTTTATTTGTTTTAAACTATGGAAAAAATTTATTAAAGGGCCCTTGTCTTTCATGTAATAACAGAAAAATGTTGTTCCATCTCTTGTAATTTTCCCAATTTTCTTAATGTTCATTTTAAATTCTTTTTCCCGATCATTCGAACTGGAAAACAGAGCAATGAAAGGCGGTGAGAAAACATCCATTCTCCACCGACTTTAGACCCTCTGATTCTTCACCGTCGTCCCATCTCCATCGAGCTCTCGTCACTAGTTTTTCCGTTCGCCGTCAACCTGAATCTTGTCTTCACTGTCGCATCTCTGTTGCTAAGTGCGCAATCGTTTGATTTCTTCCTCTGTCTCTATTTTCTGATTCTTCTTCGTTCTGCCATCAACGTGCTGTGCAGCTGAGTAAGTAACTTTCATTCTCCTTTCCTCCTTGGCTTTGGAACGTCGAGAGTGTGTGGGAAGCACAAGTCTTTCCTTTTTCTGGCTGGTGGTTTATTCTCTGTTTTCTTCTTGTTCGAATAGCTGGGTCGAAGGCATCGTCCTCTCCTTTGGTGTCATCCATGAGCTGGGGTGTGTCTGAAGCTATTGCATTATTGTCTAAGGTAAATCACTGGTTATAGCAACACGAATTATTCTCTTCTTCCCTGGCCAAAGAATGCGTCCATACTCTTCAAAGTTTCTGTCATAATTTTGAGGAAACTAAACTATATTTTGGTTAATGCTGTGTATTATTTTGAATTGGTGGTGAGCTGAGTATTGATGATAGATTAATGTTGGAAGTTGATTAAATTGTTGAATGATTATTGTGAATAAAATTCAGATGCATACAGAGTGTTTGTAAAAATGCCTAAAAGAATGTTACTAAATTGGCATAATGTAACTTGGAGGAATTTATGTGAGTAGTAGCTTGAGCTAATGGTCGGATTTTGAAAATACTTTTTCTTATATTAGTTGGGTTGTTAATAAGTTAGTTAATTGATAATGAAATTATTGATAGTATATTTTAAGTTGTGGTGTTGTTTGGGAATCAGATTTAAATGTTGATCAAGTGTTGGAAAATTACTTGATAAATGACTTTAGGATTGTTATTTTTGTCAGAAAAATAAGGGCTACATTAGGATTAAGTGAAAAGTTAAGAGAAGTGAGCTCTATAATCTTTGAAAACTATCAGGTGAGTGGGCGGCATTCCGAATATATTTTTAGAAAAGTGTTTGTAAAGATTTCTTCATTTATATATTTTTATTATAGCTTTATAAATTGTTTTCATATTTTTGTTAATCTTATTTCCATGTTAATGGTCTTATTTCTCATAAGCAGTTTAATTATTTAATTCTACGTTGATATAAAATTTTTATTGCAATGATTTGTGTATGGAGGAAATGATGAAGATTTTAGGCAATGGAAAATGATAGTTGAATAATATTTGAAAGTGAGAATTTTGAAACTATTTTTCTTTCTCCATACACACTTGATTTTAATGAGGGGGACTGAGTTCAGAACGCTGAATGCTAACGGCAGTTCCGTTAGCCCTTGGCGCGCCATGGTACACCTAGCTAGCAGGGTGCTTATAGGAGGTGCTAGCCCCATGCGTAGGCCAACGCATGTGAAATGGAGGGATGATTATTCGTGAGCATTGTACTCACGCTTGTTCGTAGGCCTCATGCCTGCGCTTGACTTGTGGCTTTAGCCGCGCTTGATTGGTTACTTACCCTCGTGGACTGTGTGTCCACGCTTGCTATTCGTTCTGATAAAGCCCTCCTAGATTTAAACTTAGATTTTATTATTTTTATATTATTTCTTTAAAAGCATTCTACCTAGTCATACCAATTTTTTGAAAATTTTATATTCTATGAACATCACAAATTTTGATAAATTGTTTTGTTCTATTAGCACTTTTTCAAATTCATGATTGCATCATAAAAAAAAATTGTTGTTTATTATTATTAGTTTAAGTTCATGGTTCATTATTTCAAAATTTTTAAATTAAATTTATTCATTAAGGTCTTCATATATTTATATACATATATATAATTGGAACGCTACTCACCAGAAATTTCTTTGGTCTCAGATAGTGTAGCCGACTCTATGCTTTCAGCAGCTCATTGAGAGGCTTTTTGCCTTTTTGGAAAAGAGAGGCATATTGCGATTATTGTTTTGGTAAAATGATGTATTGTATTTTGTAATCATAACTTAGTGCTCCACATATGCCATAGTTAGGATCCTCATCCTTATTAATTATTTTTTTTTGGTTATCTATTGATGGCTACAGAGTCCCTTATTGCTGCTATTGCTTTTGTAAAATGGTTCTAGATTTATTTTTGGGAGGTTCGAGTTATAGGGGGAACTCTGTTAAAACTTTCACAAAACGCTTAACATTTTACGAACTTCATTATTATATATGACTTATGTATATCAATATTTTAGCATAATTTTTGGTTATTAAGGCTTATGGAATATGAATTCTCTTCATATTTCATGCCGGTCATACCCTTAGTATCGGGGTATGACACTTAATTTTTCAATGCCACATTTCACAGCTAGTACTTTTTTATATGTTTTGTGATAATGCTTTTCGGAGGGTTTGAATTCTCCATCAGCATGATCACAATAACGTCTTTACCCATCTACTTTTTCAAGAAGTAAAGCTCCTCAAAAGTCATCACTAGCATTAGTTTGCAAGATACATTGTCCTTTATCAGGAATTTTGAGTGGAGGAGGATGTTGACAAATTTGCTTTAGGTGTTAGATAGCTTCTGTCTGGTTGGGGCCCTAAGGGGGTGGATTTTTTCTCAAGAGTCTAGACAGCTATCTAGTATAATGAGATACGTGAGAAATAAAATCTCTGTTACAGTTGACTATACCCAAAAAATGTTGTATTTGAGTTTTAGATAAGTTTTCATCAAGAAAATTCAATAATTCCTCAATAATATGTGAACTGGGTTGATATTGTGCATCTTAGACTAACATACCTAAAATTCTATTTGAGCTGCACCAATGTATCCTTTTCGGGAGGAAAGCATAATCCCTTACTATTGGATGATCTTATAAAATTGAGCCAAAAGGTCCTTATGCTCCTATTCAATTTCTGAGAATAACAAGATATCATCAATGTAAATAAGAGCACTATACATAATGGGTTCAAAGATTTTGATCATGGCCTTTTAGAATAGTGGGGTAGTCTTAAGACTAAAAGGGCATGACCGTGCATTGGTATTAAGCATTTGGAATACAGAAGGTTGTCTTGTATCTATTTGGATGATCTGTTCCAAGCTGCCAGAATCTTGCTTTGAGATTAAACTTTGAGAATATCTTGGCTCGCTTCAGATGTACAATTTGAGTATTGATCTTTGGCAAAAGAAACTTGTCATCTTGAAGAAAGGCATTAAGAGGCTTATAATCAATCACTAACCTCTTTTTTCCTCTTTGATTTTTAGATCTTTTTTCAACATAAAAGGCTTGACAAGCCTATCTGACTTTATAAGTTTAATAAGACCTTGTTTGAGTAGGACTGCACATTCTTCTCTAGCTAAGGCAAGGTCTTTTATTCCAGGATGAGATGCTTTTGTTAGGTTGACATCTTCATTTTTCTTAAAAGGGAGTTTAATGAAAAACTCCTTGTTTTTCCACAAAGGAGATAGATGTTGAAATTGATCATGGCTTTCACAGCAAAATTCAAGAAGTTGATCCTTGACGTATTCATATCTTGGAGGAACTTGTTAGATCTCCATAATATTAGGGATATCAGTGTATTCCTTAAAAAACTGTTTGAACCGAATACCCTTAGGGAGTATATATAAATCTTTAGTTTCTCTGTACATATTAAAACCAACAAGAATGTCTTTGGCAAGAAGATGGCTTCCAAGAACTTTTATCTAATAAGCACATCCAAGGAAAAATCTTGTATCAATTTTTCTTTTGGTAATAAAATTTATCTTGAAGAGTTTATCATCAGCTATAATAAAGTACTTATTATGAGGAATATGGGGTTTCATGACAGTTCTACAAGAGTCGATATCCATGAAAGCAATGACAGAGATATGGACATCATATTTAGAGGGTAATATTTGGATTTTCATATTAGGTTGTGCTAGCTAAGGTGGATAAGGTGGTTGGTTGAGATTTATGAGGCTTATGAGAGTTAGGCTTAAGGGAGATGGGTTAAGGCCTTAAATTGGGCTAGGCCTAATAGCATAAAGAGGTAGGTATTGATAGAATTCTTGTTCATTATCTGAGCTGTCACCAGAGACTAGTAAAACATAGTGAGTATCTTCATCTTTTTTCTTATTATCTTCAAGAACAAATTCAACATCCTGGTCATCATCCAGATGAATGACAATCTCAAGGGACTATAATACTTCATGTCTTTCTTAGATTTGTTAGAACATCTTCTTGCAAAGTGCCCCTTCTATCCACAGATGAAATATCTGTCTGATCTTCTGGTTTTTGAAGTTCTTTTCTTGAAATATCTGAAAGAACCTTGTCTTTTTAGTCTGAATGGTTTACGCCTGTATTTATGAAAATGAGTCTTCTTTTTACAAGTGTAAGATCAAACTCCTTGTATTTGATCTTTAGATTGGGCTTTTTACAGGCTGACTGTAGTCATGGCTTTCCTTTCAGCATGGATTTTAAAAATTATTGTTGCTCATAAAGCTTATTTAAGGTGGATAATGCTAGTTGATAAATTTCTCCAAGAGAGGTCAAACTTTCATTGGAAATGTTTCTAGAGGTCTTGTCGATCAAGTGAACAACACTTCATTTCAATAAACTCTTGTCTGCTCCTTTTTTCAATGATATTGAAATCTCTAAGAAATTCTTTATAAATTACTCCAAGGAATCGAGAAGCATTAAGTTGAGTAACCCTAATCTTATCGTATTCATTAAGAGTTTGGAACTATTCTCTCAAATTTTCAGTCGTTCTTGAGATAAACTTTGAAAGAACTTTTCTCATAGTAACATCAAGTCTAGTCATCTATAAATCAATCCAAGCACTAAATTCTTGGAGTTTGTCTTTCCATTTGTATGGAGATAAATCATCAAATATAAACCAGGGTCTAAAAGTGGGTCTGGAATTAGAAGCTTGAGGAATTGGTTCATAGTGAGCTCCATTTATAGCTTTAAATTCTTCATCTGGAGGATCTTCTATAATTGTTTCTGTCCTAGTTTCACATATTGAGCCTGAGATTGGACCATTATAATTTTTGATAGATTAATCAGGTATTGATCTGTTATAGAATTTGTGTACTCTATAGAGACTTCAGTTGAAGTCACAGAGTTTGAATCCTCTTGTTCAAAGAAAACATGGTCAAAAACAACATGTCGCATAGAAGCAATTGTTTCAGAGAGGTTTGAGGGGTCTTCAATCCCTTTGAGTTTTTTAGATGTAGCTGGTGGTTTGGTCTTAGGTGGAGAAGGAGGTGGTGTCTTTATAGTCAAGGGTTTTTCTGAGATTTTAGTATAGGATGGTGAGGCTTGATGGTCTTGAGGCTTTTGATAAAAAGATGGATTATGAGTCATGGGTGTTTTTGGCTTTAGAGATAGTTGTCTTTGAGCTTTTTTAAGAATTGGCCAAGACATTTTGAATGCCTTACTGTAATCAGTCTCAATCAGGTAAGTTAGATGTATAGAGGTATAGGTTGGGAATTGTCTGGTCATGGTGGGAAAAGTTTGATAGGACTCATAAATAGTCCTAGATTAGTCTTGGGGTACGTATGCTTCTATTTATTGCAGTTGCTTTTTTACTTTAAAAATTTCTTTTTATTTTCTGAAGTATTATGGTCCATCATATCCTTGATTGATAAATCTGTGGAGTTTTGCATCTAGCTTCTGTTCTTGTTTGGAAAGTCTTTGATATAGGTTCTTTACTTGGTCATCAAGTTAATTAACCTGTGAAGATAGGTTTTCTGTTATGGTTGTCAAATGATCAAGTTTGGAATCTATCCTATGAAAGACTTTGTTTTGATTGACAGCATTTTGGGACTGCCAGTTAAGAACTTCCTTAATTAGTGTAACAAGTTTGAGAGTACTTTGAGGGGATACTTCTGTTTGTGGGACAAAAGGTCTATTCCTTACCTTTGTCTTGTCATCTATCTTTCATTTAAGGGGAGAAAAATCTTTCTCATAGGGTCTCATCATGGCAACACAAGGCAAAGCTTGTATTGGTGCAGGCAAGATTATTAGTTTTGGTCTTTGTGGAATGGCTGGTATTACTAGATTTGGCTTTTTCAAATGGAGGAGATCATCATGGCCAAGTTCTTTAAGGAGTTCAAAAAGAGTACTCCTTTTTGTAGGAGGATTAGGAGGTTCTACCTATTTTCTTTTGGCAGGTTGTTTAGGATCATAGTCATTATCATTATCTTTTGGAGGGTACTTATGTCCACATGGAGATCTAGGATATTTAGGTTTTCTAGTCTTTCTTCTTCTTTTGGAACTATAGTCATCATTATTAGAATCATTCTATAGATAACAATCACAAACGAGATCAGACATTTCTAGAGCATAATCCTAAATAAAGTGACCATTAATATGGGAGACATAGACAAGCTGAGCATTTACATCGAACCACTCAATCAGAGGATGGTCTTTGTCTACAGTGAATGCTAGAGAAATGGACATAATTCTACTAAAGATTTAGTGGTCTTGAGTTCCAGGCTTTTTCAAAAACAGATTTAATAGTACCATCCTAGAACTTGTAAAGCATAAGAGGTTCTATAGTATGAATGTCTCTTTGAACACCATGGAAATGTTTTTGTAATTGTTAATCCATTCTAAAGGCATCATGTCAGCTAATTGCTCAGTGGGTAGCTGTCTTGAGATTTCCAGAATTAATAGATTGTCTGAATTTTTAGCTACCATAAATAAGGCATCATCAATTGCATTAGAAAATTTAAGATCATATGAATGATCTTGAAGCCTGAAGATCATCTGATGATGATGAGTTTCCATGGTAGCATCAAGTTCCTGTTTAGCTCTATGAATCTAGATTTGAACTTTCAATCTCTTAGAAAGATTTTCGTCGATGAGTTTTATGTTAAAATTAGGGGCTATAGTAAGAACCACACTTTCTTAGTTAAAGGTAGTCAACATGGCTCCAATCAAGGCGTTACCATATGACTTGAAGGTTGTATCTAGCAGAGCAAACCTGGCTGTGGCTGCCATATCCTTTTTACCATGAAAGGTAAGGATAAGACAGGTAGCTCCGACATCAAGGTGGGTGTATCCCTGGTTGATCCAGCCATTAATCGGTGGTTGAGCAATTTCAAAGATGATATACTATCTAGCAGTTATGGCAAGAATACCATACTATTCCATATTGGTAGTCTAGATAATTTCCTTAGGCTGAGGACGATTTGAGTGAATTAAAGTCCTAATACTTCAAGTAAAAGAGTTTCTTCAATGGTATATTTTATAAGGATTAAGGAAAGGAAGTTGAGTAGCTAGGATACGAGCATTCTCAGGAATAACAATATATTCTATAAGGTTTTTTATTTTTTCAGCAAGGGTTCTTTTTACAATAAAAGGAAGGCGATTAAAAGAAAAGGCTGAAGAGAGATTAACAGGGTCTAGAATTGTAGTTGGAGTTTCTGAAGAAGAGCTTTCAAGGATCCACTCATATTTTTTGAAGTTCTCCTTACTTACTTTCATCAATAATATCTAGTATTTGTTAATGAAGGAAATGGCTTTGATACCAAGTAGGGTTGGACTTGCCTTCGTAGTGTAACAACCCTGGGTACCTCAGAGATACTTTTTACGCCTGTTACCTCTCGACAACTTTAAACTTATCTGCCTTAACCACAGGACATCTTGGGGAAAAGTGCCTGTACTTCATCACTGCTTCATACAATGAAAACTCCCTATAGATCTTGTTACCTCTTTAGGGTGAAGACTTATAAGTTATAATCATAGTGGCTCTGATACCAAGTAGTCGGGACTCATGTGCGCCTAGTCTTAGATATCCTTGTATCACAGTGCTTACAGGATATATTGATCTAAGTAAGGCCCTTCAACGCCTCTCCGGGGCAAACACGGGCCATTTTTGGGTGCTTAATCCTTTGAAACTTTAACCCACGAATCTCTAAGCATAGTGACATGGGCTCACACACATGAATTGTCAATCAAATTCTCTAAGTATTAAGTAAAGAGGGGCATGAACACCATATTTTGTTCGAACCTTCTTTGATATTAGGGGGATCTCAATTTTATTTCTCATCACTTCATCATGTGTTTAGTCAAACAAAAGGTGTTCTTATCTTTACTTGATTTGTAGGTGTGAATCTAAAAAACATGTTCATTATACTCACATATGAAATAAGTAAAGAGGGGCAACTGTGAACACTATATTTTGTCTAGGCCTTCATAAGTAAATAAAGTAACATCTATAATAAAATAATAAAAATGAATAAAAAAGATAATGGAAAATAGAAAATAGAAAATATTTTACAATAAGAAAATAAATAAATAAATAATTAATTAAAAGATTTTTGATATGAAGATAATAATAATAATAACAACACAAATATAATCAAATCATATCACAATTGCAATTAATATCTAATATTAATATAATAATATATGAAATATAAAGATTTAAAGATCTCAAAATAATATAATGATAATAATATAATAACAAGTAATATCTAATCTCTAAATAATAATAACAAACAAGCATATAAAAATATTGATATAGATAAAAATCTCATGATATGATTGAGTTTGCTAGGTAAATCCTAAGTATGGGGGTATATATATATATATATATATATAAAGCAAAAGTAGAGTAGGCAATTGCAAGCTAAAGAAATTGAAAGAGAGAAATTGATGAAAATCTATAAAAGTAAGTTCCTCTTCCCTTAAGCTTTAGGCATCTACTTGTACATGGAAAGAAGGTTTCATAAAGGAAGAATTACAATTAGATTCTAAACCACTGAATTAATACTAGTTAAGTCCCTGACAAATTTTTTTGAAAAATAAGTTGAAAATATCAATCTAAATGATTACAAATCCAGAAGTTTCAATTACAAATAAGTATTTAAATACCAAGTGTAACTTTTAGATTGTAACAGAAATTTCTATTTGTAACTGTTTGAATTGATATTTATAATTCATTTTGTAAAAAAATTTATTGAGGACCTAATTATCATTAATTCATTCCTTTGAGACCTAACTATCATTCTACCTTTCACAAATCATCACAAAAGGGGGTCTTAAAGCTTAAGCATTAAAGCTTTTGGACATTTAGTTGCCTCATGAAAATGGTGGTTCTCTCTACCATGAGAATATAGACTTTCATTTCATGCATGTGATGCTGTTTTGAATCCTCCAACAATTACTTATGATTCCTTTGTCTTCATGCGTGTGATCCCATGACTAGAGGAAAGATGTTTCAAGATCTATGTCTAAGGTTAGTATTTATTGAATATCTTTATTGTATGCATTTATGATATCATGCTTCTTTATCCCAAAAAAAAGATATCATGGTTCTATCAAAATTATTTCAATGTGTGAGACTTTTAGAGTCCTCATAAGTTATGAAGTTAATTAATTTATTATATGTGGTGATAAATTATCGCCAGTTCATCAATTAAAGTGTTTCATATTCTTTTGACTGCGTAAGACTTTCAAAATCTTTATAATTTTTTAATTTAATTAATTTGCCATATATGACGATAAATTATCGCATGTGCTTCAATAAAAGTATTTTATACTTTTGACTGCATGAGACTTTTGGAGTATATGGAAGCTTATAAGTTAATTAATTTATTATCCTATGTAGTGATAAATTATCGTATATATAGTTTTTGAAATCATTGGTCGCATGAGACTTTAAAAGTTCTCATAGGTATATAAGTCAATAAATTTATCTTTCATAGCAATAAATTATTGCATGCACATATATAGTTTTGAAATCATTTGCCGTGTGAGACTTTTAGAATTCTCGCAGATTTATAAGTCAACTAGCTTATCCAATGCGTCAATAAATTATTGTGGGCACATATTTCAAAATATTTAAAAATAAAAGGTTTTTCTAAAAAAAAATAAAATAAAATAAATCATTTTTGAAAGATGGATTTTGGGATATATAAAATTTTCATAAATCTTATCAAAATGTTTTTCCCAAAATTATTTCTCAAAACCTTGTGACAAATAAAGAAATAAATTATTTTCATGAATAAAAAATACAAGGCAACATTAAAAATTATGTTATTAAAAATGATCATAAATATTTTCCTTTATAAAATATATCAACTAAGAGACACGTATTTTACCTTAAATTATATGAGTTTTGATCCTTGAAAGGGTATATAGGCCTAAGGTTTTTTCCCAGGTTAAGTTCAACTTATAAATAAATAAAAATGTTTCCTTTTTTCTAGTCTTTTCTTAATTAAGGGTAATTAAGATATTTTTTAAGGTCATATAAATTTATATAGTTAATTTAGGGTAACCATTCATATGAATGGGTGTTGTAGGGTGCCTACCACTATCTCCACACATAATCAACTCCCATAGCTTTTTCTCTACATGTTCCAAAATTACCCATTAAAATTTTGGTAGTGACTCCCAAAATATTTTTATTTGATTTTTCTTTTTAGAAAATTCTGGATCAGGCACAACAAAGGTTGTATTTGGACCTTAGAGTATGTCTTATCATTTGAATTATCTGGTTTGGGTCCAAAACATTGGTGCAAGTATGATTATGTTATGTGGATGATTGTAAAGAATTATGTAAAGAATTGAAATTGAAAACCTCTTTTTTAAAATCAAGGGATTGAGGGTTAAAATTGAGTTATATGTGGTATTGATTGTTGTGATGTGTTGCACAAGTAGTTCTAAGTCTATTGAGTATGGTCTAGATGTCAGTTTGAGCTTTTGGCACTTAAGTTGAGTTTTATACATCTTGGCTATGAAAAAGGAGGAAAATGTGATTAATTTGGATTTTGGTATCCAACTCCTTGATATGGAATAATTTGGAAATGAAACCTTTGCAATTTTCTAGTTCACTAAATGAACTTTTTATGAATGTGTAGGTCACCTCAATCAGATATAGGACAAAGGTTTGAGGCTTGTTAAAAGTTCAGCCTCAGATTTGTCATTTAACTGTAGAGTGCTATCACATTTTATACAATGCGCCATGGCACATGGCACAGAGAGCATTGGGTGCAGCACATCCCCTATTAGGTGCAAGAGATGGCTTGTTTTATAAGAAAAAAGGACTTTTCTAACCTTATTTTTAAATGTTTTTAAGTCAAATTGGTATCACATGCTTTCTGTAACATCCCAGTTTTTAATCACCTGATTTATTAAACCTAATTAGGGTAGTTAAGTAAGTTGAGGTCGTGTGTGGCCAAGGAGGTCTAATAAGTATATCTAATTGTATTTTAGCCTTAATTATGGGTCTGATACTAAGGCGGGCCACCCGAGCATCAAAAGGAGAAGAAAATGAAGAGTGATGTTGCTATGCCACACGCCGCAGTGTAGAGATCGTCTGCCATGACACACAGATACTTTCGATGCAAGGGAGGACCTCTCTGTGCAACGCACCGCGGTACATTATGCATCCGCTGTGGTGCATGGCCATTTTTCGCAATTTATCAGATGCGAACCTAAGACAGAAAAGAGAGAAGAGAAAGAAGAGAATGAAGAGTGTTAGGGCTTGCTAGTAGATGACAATAAGAGTATTTTGGAAGCTACAAACACTTAAGGTAAGTACCACATTCCTTAATCTCTCGACCTCTTCTATATTTATGAGTTTATGATTAGGGTTTGATAATAAAAGTGGAATTTCAGTCCATATAGGTTATTAATATGAATTTATTGACTCAAATGGAGTTAATGGGAGTAGACTACAGTATCTAAACTTAGGTATAATGAGTTTTGGTGTCTTAAGTTGTTGGGCATCATAAACATCTGAATTTTTATTTAATTTGGGTGGTTGGAAGAGTGTGATGCCATTAATGGGAGTTTAATGGTTTATTAATATTATTGGGGACTAAAAGTAATAATTAAACCCAAGGGATATGCTCAAATTCTTGTGGAGTAAATGTTAGGCAATTTAGAAGTGGAGATTGAGGCTTTAATACTTGAGATGGTAATGTTGATGAAATTCAACTTGGATAGTTATAGTATTTGGCTCTTGGTCACCTATTGGATTGGAAAATTCAAGCTTAGAAGCTAGTAGATTGAGAGGTAAATCTTTAACCTCTCAAAGGTTTGAGGTAATCGGAGGAACCCTACTTTAAGTAGTTATATGTTAATTGATTGTTAAATGTGAATTGTGAATGTTACATGCATGGGTTTGATTTTCAATGTGAAACCATGTATTAGTTTCAATGAGTGTATGGAAATTTGAATGTGCATAATGCTATTTTGGCTTGAAATGCAAAATGTGAAGTCAAGAGGGTTTTCGAACTATGAATATGCTTATGCTTTTGGAAAATGAATGTGATGTGGTGTAGAGGTAATTATGTGTTAATAAGAAGTGGATTTTGACATAAGTGAGAATAATGTTGAGAAAATGATAAGAATACATACTTGGGTAGCGTACGGTCGTGAGCCCAACATAATTATTGCGATAATGAGTAAAAGAAAATGAAAATGTGAAAATGAGTGAGTATTAATTATGGCATAATTAATGGCGGGAGTTCACCTAGGGATTGGGAGTAGAGAAAAATTCATATGATATTTAGGCTACCCTCTGGTGCATAGGGGTATAGCCTTGTCCCATAGTTTGTCGAGGGACTGTCCCATACTTTGTCGAGGGACTAAAACCTAGCTATCTCTATCGATTCAATGAGGAGAATAGTCTAGGGTATGAGACACTCCAGAGATTTAAGAATGGGGGAAGCCGTGGTCCGAGAGTGAGTCATGTGATCTTTAGCCAGGTCACACCTCATGATTGGTGAGCTTAGACAGTTCAGTCACATGGACGAAGCCTTAATTAGTGTTATAGCATATGGTTTCGGTATGAAGAAATAAGGAGGATATAAGATTGGTTGATCATTGCCTAAGTAAATATATGACGTGTCACACGTGTTAAGTTATGGCAAGTCACGTGAATAATGGGTCATGGTCACATATCTGATAATATAGTGACAATGCACCTAATTTATGTGAGATAAAGAAGTTATTTAATGATAAATGACAAGTTATGATATTTGTGAGCATGTTTTACATACTCGGTTCCTTATGCATGTACTTAATTTATGATTGATATATAACTGTATAGGGTATAGGTTCTACCTTAGTTACTGAGTGACTAAACTTACCCTTTTCATTTAACACTTTTCAGGCTCTAGTTCTGGTGCAAAAAGGGAGAAGGCTCAAAAGGCTAGGAATTAGCATATTCCTATTGTATGCCTTTGGCTTAGATTTATTATGTGTAATAGTATATAAATGCCAATTCTAAGATGCATGCTATCACACTTATACTATTTTGCTATTGAGAATGTTAGATTTATATTTTGAGCCTTGAATCTTTATGTATGTTGATATATATTTGTTAATAGGGCTAAAATATTAGTGCAAGTGTAGAAATAGACATTTGAGCATGTTCTGATTGTTTTGGGTGTAAAGTAATGTTAATTTACCTCCCTCTCTGTTTTTGGTAAAAAGTGATTGAGGAGTGAATTTCTATTATACTATGGTTTCAATGTGTGTGACGTGTTATACTGGTAGTCCTGAGTCTAATAGACATGGTCCAGGTATTAGGAAAGGCTTTTAGCACATGTTGAGGGTTTTGGACACCTATTTTGTGTGAAAGTTATAAAAAGTGGTTAAAATGTGTGTGGGTATCCAACTTTCTGGTGTGACTTGTTTTGAAAGTGAAACCCATGCCACTAGTTAGTTCATGTTAAGATCTTTTCATAGATACCTAGATCACGTCAATCGGATGTCAGATGGAGAATCGGTGCACATCAGAAGTTTCTCAATTTTGCTGTCAAAGGATAGCAGAATTTGCTGATTTTTCATGCAACAAGCCATGGCGCATGGTGCCTGAGCCATGGTGCGTGGCACAGAGAGCAACATGCCATGGCACAGCATGCACGAGCCACGACGTATTGCCCTGTAACACAGCATAAGTTTTGTTTTTCAACCGTCTTTGACTCCTTTCACTCCTCTGAGGTATCCCATGCTTCCGAAACTTATTTTACTCTGATATGAAGGATTTTGATTGATTTAAACTCATTGTTATTTAAAAAATTTGGGATCCCTTGCTTTTGAATGAAACCTTGGCAATCACTCTTTGGGTTTAATCCTTTGATTACCATGAGTTTTATTTGTTAATTATATTTAGTGGAGTGAGAATATTACACTTTCGTAGGCTTTTTATATATTTGATTTGAACTTGTGTTTTCTTAGATCTAAAGTGTTTATTTATCAAAACTTAGGATCCCATCTTTGTTACTATTTTGTTTTGAAATTGAATTTGATTAATTAAGTTTCAATAAGTTTATACTACTTGGTTTTGAACTATTCTACTATGGTAGAATTTATTCTACCACAGTAGTGTATATTTAAGTCATAAATTATCAATTTCAATCTCTTTAACCTTATGAAGGGATTGCTTGTCCTTGATTTCATCAATTGGACCCCTTCTTATACTTATGATCCCAAGACTGTTGTACCCAAAAAATCAGGAGCCCATATGTGAAAAATCTGCTATCACTAGACATAGTCCAGCGAGATTCAAGGCATGTCATATTACACTCCCATGTCTCTTTAACAACCTTCCATACTCAGTCGTTTTGAGTCTTAAAGGTTATGCCCCTTGTCTCAACATGTGCTCAGCACGACACCTCATTTAGAAGTGGACTGGGCCTTGACTTAATTGATGAATTATTAGGCTTGACACTTCTCATTCATCCCCCTTTTATTATTTTGGGCTTTTGTCAATTAATGTTTCATTTTAAATCCAAACACCATAGTAGATCTTTGAATTTGTCTTTTCTTTTCTATTATGGTTAGTTTCCTTGCAATTGCAGTTAAAATGTTTTAAATATAATGTGGTAATTAGTATGGATTATTCCTTAATTACTAGGGGAGCTTTGGTAAATTGTTGGGGTAATAGGGGGAATATTACAATTGGCTACCATCAGTGGTGGAGCCAAGACCTAGAGTTAAGGGGTACGAGACAACTCAATTTAAAAATTAATAATTAAAAATATTATAATAATTTTAAAAAACAATTACATTAGACAAAAAATATAATAACATAAGTAAAGTAATGCATATTTTTATTTGGAAGAAATATACTGAGGATTTATTTGGGCAAAAAAATATGTTGAGAAAGTTGATATAGAGTTTAATTTGCAAAAAAAAAATAAAAAAAAAACTATTACCTAAAAAGGATGACTTTAATTTGTTGTGCAAAATAAACAACTCTTAATCCATTTTTTAATAATTTGTCTAATGAATATAAAATTCTTTGGTTTGAATTTATGGAATATGAGTTAAAATATCATTTATTTAAGAAGTTTTTGAACCCAAATATTTTTTATTAAGTCTAGAGGGTTTAAAATTTTAAAACTAGGGGTGCAAGATTATAATTTTTATGTACTATCTATGCAATTTTCTCCATGTGAGGGGATGCCTCAAATACACATAGCTCCGCCATAGGCTACCATTTAGATGATTTATTTACTTGGGTGATGCTTGAGAGGGCTAGTTTAAGTATAAAACTTAAGTAAAATAGTACAAAAACATTAAGTTTACATGTTGAGTGGATGGTTTTGTTAGTAAGAGATATACTTACTAACATTGTATAGCCACATTAAAATTGAAAGTTAAAAATGTGTTTTATTAATTGTAACAAAAGATTGGGCAATTTATTTATCTATGCATTTGTTCATGACTTGAGAGAACTTGTTCAAATATTTTAATTTAGAACCCTAGGTTAGCATTTATTTTCATTAAAAACATCTATGAGAGTAGGTAATTTTAGTTTTATGAGAAGCAAGGAGGATAAATAATCATATAAGTCCCAATTTGTGCTTGAAGTTTTAGAATCAATTACTTTTCTTTATTTTTCAATTTTAACATAATTTGCAAAATCAATTTGTCCGACTAATTGAGTTTTGCTCAACTTAATTGAATTTACTAAGTCTTTTATTTGGTCACTTGTTTTAAACAAATCTCCATAGTAACAATACTTTACTCACTTTATATTAGTTGTCATGGCCGTTACACTTGCAGAACCATGCATACAAATTAAATTTTGAATTCCACCTCCTTCCCTCCAATTCCTGGCTCCTTGCTACCAAACGCGGCATAAGGTGTAGGACCATACTTATTAATCTTATTAATAAAACAAATGTCACGACGACATGCAGGCCATCAGCAAGATTAGATATATTGATATTCTTGGGAAAAAATGGTGCATGATTAACTTGATGAGTATTAGGACAAACAGCGTTTGCTGGCAATGGCAAATTAAATAATGATAAAAACATGCATGTGATAGATGTTGACTTTGAAAGCACTTGGAATTAAGAATGGCGAGCACTATGAGAACTAAGAGTCAGCTTCGTGGTTTGAATTCCTTTCTTCTCCAGCAGTTGAAACATTAATATAATGGAGCGAAAGCAACTGGACATATGGTGCTAGAGATGGCTCTCTAGAGGTACATCCGTATCTCTCTCTTAAAATTCTCGTCTGTTTAGAATAAAACCTTAGCTTATGAAAATGTTAAGGTGCGATAGTTCATTACATATGCATGCATGAAGTGTGTTACCTAGAATTAGAACTACATTAATATGGCTACTATTCTCACCAGATCCTCCTCCACCACATCCCCAGACCTTATTACCACCGGACTCAACATATATTCATGTGATTATATAACAAGTTTATTTTTCTAGGTCTTAGCTTTGGAAGGTTTTTTATTCTTGGTTTGGTTTTACAAGAATAACTGTAGAAAATTGTGCTTGAACAAATACTTGAAAAAGTTTTCTCAAATCAAGAATTAATTATCAATTGCACAATGTCTTGTTATAATTAATAAAAATTAAGATCAAGACCTGGTGTGACTATATAAGTAGAATCAGGAAAACAGATTCAGCCTAGCAAGCCAGTCCGTATACTTGCCAAAATTGGCAGGCCGAGCTATAGCACAGTGAGCCCCCTTTCTTTTGTCAGCCATCCCTGCAAAGAGGATGCACTATACAGAACAGTTATAATAAAATAATGAATGCAATAACCTGCCTAAACCCATAGTTTTGGGTTTAGACCATTCATATGAAAACCTTATGAAATTCCTCATATATTCTGTACCAAGCGAAGTCATCAAAGAACCATTTCATATCTTTGTACCTTACGATCTACCACAATATATTAATATTTTGAGATATTTTAATAAATTGAGAGACAGAGTACAGATTTCATGGGATTTATCAATAGTCAAGAAGCTGAACTCTCTCTCTCGAAGCTTGCGTCTCAAATGCCGGAAACTAAAAACCAAACAAATGAGGACCGTTGATATAGCAGATTAAAAGCAAACAAACATTTTCTTGCTTACATTTCAGAACGCAATGGATTCGTATTGAGATTACAAAGTTCAGGGTCGTCCCTCGTATAGATCTCTTTGGCGCGAGCAGTCACACCTAATAATATAATAAGACAGACGATCCCGCTGAGGACAGGGGTGGGTTTAAGGTGAAAGGGCAAGAAGGAAGCCAGAGAAGTAAGACAAGCGCAGACCCGCTTCTAGTAACCAAAGCGCACGCCAACAATCATCATCAGCTGGTGGCTGTGAATTATGCGAAGAAGATGATGATGCAGCAACACCTTCTACAGAAAAGACTTCTGAGGACCAAGGCGACGATGCTGGAGACTCATGACGATTCGGAGCACCATCGCCGTGGCGAGAAAAGAAGATTCCAAAAAACAAAATCGAAATCACACGTGTGGCGAACAACCTGCAGGGATGCATCGTACTGTTCTCTGGAGCAACAAGAGGTAACGAGTATGAAGAGAGAGAGACGACTGGAAATTAGGGGTACAGTAGGTTTGCTTGGACGTTGATGCATATAAAAAACGTCTCAACACGCTAACTTCGTTATATGCTAATCAATTTAAATTCGTAGTTACCTTAACCCCAGTCGTAGATGGGAGAGGATTCTCTCCTCTTTCTTTACATCCTCTGTCCCTCCCTTTCTTAATTTCTAATCATTAGATTAAAATTTTGGATAATTCAGATTTGATCTCTTCCAAAATATTTCATTTCATTTTACTTTTACTGTATTTTTAAATTGTTGTTATTAAATTTTAGTATTTTGAATTTTATTATTTATATTTTTTATAATTTAATATTTTAATAATAATTTTATAGAAGATCAAATTTAAACAGTTTAAATCTTGAGCTAGAAAGAGAAAAGAATGGGAGGGAGAGGAGAGACTATAACCGTCGTGGATGGTCTAACCTTTTTATGTGAATCAAAATAGTATATCTAAGAATCTATCATCAACGTGTATGGGATTCGCCTGGGCTTAGTTTTCTTCGTTTCTAGTGGAGGAACGTTTATGATTGATTATTGTTTGCTTCCATATGTGGGAACACCCCCCCAGGCCGGGGGGAGACCCTTTTTTAACATGCATAGTGTAGTACTTAATTATATATGATGTAATAAATGCATGATTTTATACTAGAGATGAGTTTTGACTTATCTTTTTACCTTCTTGAATATTTTGTAGGTAGGATGTCAGTTGGTGGAAATGAGGACAGAGTCAGGTAACAAACAGGCCCAAGATTCATTGGACGAGGTCTATATTGGATCAATTGGGTTTGTGTTGGAAACTGAGTTCGTCACGTCATCTTGGAGTTAATTAATATGGCAAAGATTTGCACCTAGCCGAAGATATGTACAGGAAATCAATTGAGACCTAACAAAAATCCTGTCTATTAGGTACTATCTTAAAGGAGGCTTTGAGGTATTTTCCTGTATAAAATAAAATATTAATGTTCCTTTGGGCGACGATGATGGAGTTTTAAATCGATCTTTTATGTTCTCAGTTAACTGGTATCAGAGCCTTAGTTATGATTTTAAAATTATATATCTCAATTCTTCTTATGTATATAATGATATATTGATAGAGATTTATGCTCATGTTGATAAATTTTTTTTATAATTCATATTATTCAGGAAATGAGTATGAACATGAGTTTTTTTTTTTTCGGATATGTGAATTTTGGTTTAAATCTGTTATATTTATGATAAAACCATTAGCATGATCCTAAAATCCTTTGGCCATATGAATTTTCCCCCTTTTTTTATGAATTTCTTTCGTTCTTCCTCCTATACCCAACTTCACTGTCTCTGGAGTTGGCATCATTTGACCATTGGAGTTGTTGCTGCGCCGTGGATGGATTCTTCAGCTTTGCTCATCGAAAATCCTCCTTGCGAGCTGCTGTAAAATGCATCGCTGTTGTCGTCTGGACTGGCGTGGTGAAAGGAGGATTCGCCAGAGATAGGGACGACGCTGTCGTCTTTGCCTCTGGCCTCAGTCACTGACGTCGTCTCCCTGTCTCGTTTTCTGGTTCAGCAATCACTACCCACGGCGCCATCATAGCGGTGTAGTCCTCCCCTTCTTCCTCGTCCCATGCGCGGCTGGAAAGACCCAGGGACCGGGTCAGGAACCGGATCCTAGGGATCCGGTTCCATGGGTTCTGGGCCTATTTTCGTATGGGCCCAGATCTTTGATTAAAAAAAGGGTGGAGACACGAACTGGTTCAGAAACTGGATCCTAGGGATCCAGTTTCATGGAGTGTTCATTTGGGCCCAGACCTGATTTAAAAAAAATAAAAAATAATAAGGAAATTGAGCCAGAAGTGAAACGGATCATTTCACTTAACAGTACTGGGCCTTAATCTCGGCCCAGTAGTAATATATATATATATATATATATATTTCTATTAATTATTTTTTGGCCCCAGTTTAAATTACATCACTCAGCCTAAAATTTTTAGGATTTACGTCATGACCCCAGGATATTTTTAGAAATTACAGTTTAGTCCCTTAATTTTTAGAATTACATTTTGGACCCAAATCTCTTCCAGAATTACCTATTTATCCCTGATACCTTTTAAAATTTCACTTAAGTCCTAAATTTGTTCCTTAATTCCCAAAAAAGACCCCAAGGACTTTAAAATTATTTTATTTTGTCCTAAGATCATAAAATTTATGACTTTGTGAGTTATTGATGATGCTTAGGATCTTATAACATTGATAATAGACATATCCCATAGGTATGACATTATTAATGTAATTTTGATGGTTGGTTTTGAGGATAGGCTAATAGCACTCCTTTAATGTGTTAGATATTTGTTGTACCCTATAGGTATGGAAATGTTTAATGCATTATTTTGTATGGAATTTTGTATGAGCTAAATCTTTATGATATTTGAGCCTTCTTGGTGCATGATTATAGTTGCATAATTGATAATCGCTTGTTGGGAAATTCTGTTGTGCATGTATAATTAATATTTCCCATTTTCTGTTTTGCAATTTCAGTTTCCGCTTTTGTGCAACTATCCTTTATGAAGACTCTCAATAGGACTAACTATGATGACTGGAAAGAGTCCCTAAATATGTATCTGATCATTTTGAGAAAGATTTAGCTCTGAGAGAGCCCAAGCTTGTGGATCTCTCTTCTGAGTCCAATGCTTCTGAAATGGCCTTCCATAAACAATGAAGTGAGTCCAACCTAATCTGTCTTGCGATCATCAAGTACACAATTAAAAGGGAATTAGGGACAGCATTCTTGAAAAGGATACTGTAGTGGAATACTTGAAAGCTATTGGTAACAAATACAAGAAGTTTGACAAGACTCAAAAGAACTACTATTTGTCACTTCTTGACAATACTCGATATGACCGAGTTTTTGGTGTCAGGGAGCACATTCTGAAGCTTGTTCATTACTATAACAAGCTTAAGTTATATGGGATTGATTTGGGTGAAAGTACCTTAGTTTACCGTGTTCTTCAATCACTGCTATTAGAGTACGCATTCTTGAGGACTTCATACAACTCACAAGAAGCTGAATGGTCTATTGACTAGATGATATCAATAGTCACTGAAGAAGAGGAAGCTATAAAGAAAAATTCCTCTCACTCAGTAAATTATGTTTCTCATGGCTCTAGCAGCAAATCTAGAGGGTCGTATAAGAAAAAAGGGAAGAAGCATGAGGCCCTTAAGCCTAATAATCTAACTTTTAAGAAGGACGGTGATAAGAGTGAGAAGTCAAGGAAGAAACCCTTTAAGGGGTTATGCAATTATTGCAAGAAACCGGGTCACATTAAAGCTAATTGTTTCAAACTAAAGAACAAACAAGAAAGTAAAGGTACAATTCTTCAAGCTGCCCCTCTAGCTCTAGTTTGTTTTGAATCTAACATCATTAAAACTTCCTTTGACTCATGGTGGCTGGATTCTAGTGCCACTGTACATGTTGTGAATTTTCTACAAGGATTAAGAAACTAGAAGGTTCCAAGTGAGGCACAGAGGTCAGTCTTTGGCATAGTAGGGAGCAAGGCATCAGTTGAATGCATTGGAACTATTTTCTTGTATTTAAATTCTGGTCATGTTTTAAATTTGAACAATATTGTTTATGTACCTTCTACGAAGAGGAATTTAATTTCAACTTCTGCATTGGATATTTGTAGCTATTCATTCTTCCAAGGAAATGGGAAAATTGATATTTGTTTTAATTCCATTAATGTTGGTTGTGCTTCATTGATATATGGTTTATATCGATTGAATGATTAGTCACTTGAACTTCCTAATCTCCATATCAATGCTGCTATTGGGCATAAACGCCAAAGGCTCAATGATAATTCATCCATGTTATGGCATCGTCGTTTGGGTCATATCTCCAGAGAGAGATTGGAACGCATGGCCAAGCAAGGTGTCTTGTAAGACCTTGATTTCTCAAATTTTGAGACTTGTGTTGATTGTGTTGATTGCATAAAGGGAAAATTTCTTGCTAGAGCTAGAACCAAAAGGGCAAAGAGGTCTGAAAACACTTTAGACCTAATCCATATTGATATCTGTGGACCTATCACACCTTCGGCTATGGGTGGTTTCAGATATTTCATTACCTTCACAGATGATTACTCTCATCATGGATGGATTAAACTCTTGCATGAAAAAGGCGAGTCTCTTAATGCATTCAAGACCTTTAAGGCAGCAGTCTAATTGAAATCTGGCAAGTTGATCAAATGTGTGAGATTTGATAGAAGAGGAGAATTTTATAAGAGATATATTGAGACTAGCAAGAACCCTGGGCCATTCATTTTGTACCTCCAAGAGCATGGCATTGAAGCTCAGTATACTATGCCTGGCACCCTGCAGCAAAATGGGGTTGTAGAAAGGCAAAATTATACTCTCATGGATATGGTTAGAAGCATGATCAATTACTCCTCACTGTCGGAATTCTTGTGAGGTGATGCACTTAAAATTGCTGTTTATATTTTGAATCAAGTTCCTACCAAGTCAATTCCAAAGACTCCATATGAGTTGTATTTTGGAAGGATTCCTATATTGAAGCATATGTGAGTTTGGGGTTGTAAAGCACAGGTAAAACCTTACAATCCACAACAGATGAAGCTTGATGCTAAAACTATTGATAGTTTCTTTATTGGCTATTGCATCAGATCTCGTGGGTATAGATTCTATTATCCAAATCACACTACTAGGGTAATTGAATCTGACCGTGCTTATTTCTTTGAAGATGCCTTAGACAGTGGGAGCTCTTTGCCTAGGCATATTACTTTACATGACAAAAGCAGTATTTTACCTATGCCTATCTTGACAGCCCCTCAAGTTGACAAAAATAATATCGTGGATCAGGATGAAGCTGAAAATAAACCACCTTTAGAGGGTGATGGGTATCTAGTTGTTGAACCAAGACGGTCCCAAAGGGTTCACAGGTCTGATATTCTAGATGATTACATGGTGTATTTGCAGGAATTTAATTCAGATGCTATTGATAGTTTAGACCTAATATCTTACCAAGAGACTATTTCTAGCTCGCATTCTTCTAAATGGTTGGAGGCTATGAGTGAAGAAATCGCCTCTATGTACCACAATCACGTATGGGAGCTTGTAGAGCTACCAGAGTATTTTAAACCAGTGGGTTGCAAGTGGGTTTTTAAAACAAAACGAGGAGCTAGAGGTGAAACTGATAGATACAAAGCCAGATTTATAGCTAAGGGCTACAACCAAAAAGAAGGTATTGATTACACAGAGACCTTTTTTCCGATATCTACCAAAGATGCTTTTAGAGTAGTAATGGCTTTAGTTGCACAATTTGATCTTGATCTTTAGCAGATGGATATCAAAACTACTTTCTTAAATGGCGATTTGTATAAAGAAGTCTACATGACACAATTGATGGTTTTGTTGAATCTGGTAAAGAACATCTAGTGTGCAGATTGAAGAGGTCCATCTATAGACTAAAACAGGCCTCTAGACAGTGGTATCTGAAGTTTGATAAAGTTATCACCTCGCTCAGTTTTGTTGAAAATATCTTAGATCAGTGTATCTATCAGAAGTTTGATGGGAACAATTTTGCCATTTTTGTTCTCTATGTTGATGATATCCTGTTAGCTAGCAATTCAATGAATTTCCTCAATGAGATAAAACACCTATTGTCTTGCTATTTTGACATGAAGGACATGGGTGAAGCCTCCTTTGTTCTTGGGATACAGATTCATCGTGATAGATCTCGTGGTATTCTTGGTTTATTACAAACCACCTATATTGAGCGGGTACTTAAGAAATTCAGAATGGATTCATGTTCTCCCTCACCTGCTCCTGTACAGAAAGGTGAGCTATTATCAGAGTTATAGTATCCTAAGTATGATAAGAAGAAGACTGAAATGAGAAAGATACCATACACTTTCACTGTCGGTAGCCTTATGTATGTTCAAGTATGTACTCGACTAGATATAGCCTTTGCCATTGGAGTGCTGGGTCGATACTTAAATGATCCAGGTCCGGATCATTGGAAGGCTATTAAGAAAGTT